ATCCAATTGCTCTGATGTACTTCTGACCATTGTCTCTCCTACCCCATCTGGACATGTGGGGGATACACATCTGTGCACTCAGATGTCACAGCTCGTCTCACTGCTACTCCCACTCTAAGCCACCACCGACTCTCACCTAGTCTGCACTATGGTGGCCTCCCTGCTGGCCTTGACTGTGTTCCCAAGGGCAATCTCATTAATATGCAAGCCCCCCTTGTATCCTTCCTCAGCTCTGAGCTTCAGACTAGAGTCTCTAAAGTGACTCATGCATGCAATGAGGGACAGCACACATCTCCCAGCCAGACTGGGCCTTGCCCTGTGTCACCCCTGTGGGCCTCGTGCAGGAAGCCATGGCTCCCGTTTTCTCTTCCAGTAGTTTGGAAGCTCTCCCTCCGCAAACATCCTGATTAACTCCATCTTCTGCAGTCCCCAGTGTCACATCTGGTGGCCCTTCCCTCACCTGCTGTACTGCAGACTCTTGGCCCCTCAGCTGCTGCTCAGCCCCACGGGGCACACACCTGTCTTCGGTGGCTTGTGTGTATGCCCCTGTCTGCAGTGTCCCCACCCTAACAATTCACATGGCTAGTTCTCACACTTCTTTCATGTCTTCTGTTGAAAAATCACTTCCTCCCAGCGGTCCCAAAGTATCAGCCTCTTTTCACATCCCTTTGGTAAGCTTTGGTCTTTCTCTTGTGTGTCTAGGGCTTACTACACATTTTGCCAATGGGCAGTTAAATCTTAAACTCTGCATGGACAGAGGACTCTGTTTCCCTTCCAGGTTCTCAGTGCCCAGCACCCCACCTGTTTGGTGCTCACTGAATATTGATGGAAGGAGGGAAAGATGGATGGAAAGAAAGAGGAAGGATAAAGGAAGATCACATCTTCCTTCACACATCTGGCTCTGGAGTCAGAGCACAAGTCGAAGGGAATTCCTGGCCCCATGTTTTGTCCCATTCAGTTTCCATTGGTCCCGTGTTCTGCCCCATCCCCTGTCCTCCTCTTCTCCCCATGGCCCAGCATCGCCGTTCTTTTTAGCTTTGCTCTCATGCCACCTCTGGTGAATCCAGCAGAAACTGATGGTTCAAGTCGTTTTTGAAAAAAATTCAACTGTCATGTTTATGTCATTTAATTTGAAAGGTAGACAAAATAGAGATTTTTCCATCTACTGATTTACTCCCAGAATACCCACAGCAGCCAGACTGAAGGCAGGAACCAGAACTCAAAGCGGGTCTCCCCTCGTAGGGCACTGGTGGACATCATCGAGGAACTGAGAACTGAAGCCAGAAGCACAGCCAGAACTCGATTCTAGGCATTACAACATGGAATGTAGGAGCCTTAACCACTGTACCCACCCACCCTTAACCGCTGCACCATCCCTGATGCTCCTTTTTCTCAACAGGCGTCCTTGGGTGTGTATGTCTCATGCACCATGGGTTCCATGCAGAGCATCACGGGTGCACACCTTTGGTGTTGTCAAGGTTTCTTTCCTGGCTTGGGCAAACTTGGTGGCCCAGAGAGTTAATGCCTCCTGCGTGGTCAAACCAAAAGGAATGGACTAGGAAGGAATGTGAAGACAGCAAGACAGTCACTATTGTCCAACAGTTAGAAAGCAAAGTCAGTCTATCAGGTGGATGGTGAGGCTATGAGCCCAGTCCAAATGGCAGTGTAGGTGTATGGGGGTCCCTCGGGGGTGGGGCAGGAGTAGGATGGTAAATCAGAGGAGGTGGTACAGACACTCTTGGTGCCTGGAAAGTTGAAGGAGCCAGGCGGGTTTAGTAAAAGAGCTCATTGGCATAAAGAAGGACAGAACCAGAGATGGCAAAAAGGTTTTTGCACTTGGAGTTCCAGGCCTGGCTACAAAACCATTCTAGGTCAAAGTGTCACTGTAAGGGAGAGTTCAAGGGTTAACAGCACCAAACTTAGACAAGGGTCATCCATGCAGATGTTGAGATTACAAGGAGGGAGGTGCTGGCTCTGGGGTGTAGCCAATCGGAAGCCAGCTTCACATGCTGGTGTCACCCCAGGAAGGGAGGGGATTTCCTGGGAACTTCAAGGGTGAGTCATTCTGAGTACAGCAGCAGGGACCAAGTGGGAACATGGACCAGAACAGCATAGTGGGTGCTGATAGGGAAATGGAATTCTCTGTCACACTGCTTCCTCTGTGCACATCCTACAGTCACCAACTCTGTACATCCTGCTCGATAAATCCAGAGGTTTCAAGAAGTTAAAATTGTCAGAATGATAGACAGGAAAAGACAAAAAGTGAGAGAGCTTCCATTCACTGGTTCACTCCCCAAATGACCACAACAGCCAGGACTGGCTCAGGATGAAGCCAGAAACCAGGAATTTCATCTAGATTTCCCACAGTGGGGACCAGGGTCCCCAACATTTTGGCCGACTTCAGCTCCCATCCCATAAACATCAGCAGGGAGTATCATCAGTGCTTAGTCAAACCGCAAGTCAACTTGGGGGAGAAATAGAACATCATTGCCCAGAGTGGTGGTTGATACTTTCCCACAAATTCAGAGCATCCAAGTTCCAGAGTTTTGTTGAACTCATCTGCAAACAATGTGTTTTAATTACTTGGGGTTTTCTCTTCTATTTTTTTTCTCTCCCTCATACCACAGAATCAGGGCATGAACCAACAAGGTGATGTGGCCTCTCTCTCTCAACTCAGACTGTTCAGGTCTGGAAAATGCCATCCATACTGCCAAGGCTTGGGGTTGCATGTGGGGCAGGTTGGGGAGAGCCAGGGGGGTAGGGTTAGGGGAGGAGAAGGCAGTGATTGAAGGGAAGGCACTGTCTACCAAGGATGATGTGTGGGCTTTCTTTGTTGTGTCCACAACTGCCAGCACCATGCCTCGTGCAGAGTAGGTGCTCCAACATATTTATTGACTGACTCACTGATCATTTATGTATCCTTTCTGGAGCGGGGAAAGGGAATCACCAAGTATGTATTAGAGCTGGAAGTCAGTTCTGCCTAGCACCACTGAGTCAGCTAGGTGGGTGAGTGCCTCCAGGGGGTACTCATGCCTTCTAATCCACTCCATCTCCTTGGGGAACTGCCAACTCAAGGTTGCAATGCTGACTGAGGCCCTGTTGCGCGTTCATCCAGACATGCAATGGTGAGGACCTAGGGTGGACGGAGAGCACTGACCACATCAGTGTACCTTAGGGACCCAGAGAAAAGGCCTGATGAAATCATCATGGCATTGTCTTTTCCGTGGCAATATGCCAATCCTGCCATGCATTACAACAGGTGGGATTGGCAAGAGTGAACCTGGGCTTCATGAGTATTCTGCAGCATTGCTGCATCAGGAAAAACAACAGGGTCGTGTGTCATCCTGCGTTCCTTCTCTTTCTCCCTTCTGTGCTGAAACACGCTCCGCAACGTGTCATCCTGAGGCCAGGCTGCCTGCCTTTCCCAGTTGCTGTCATTGCGTTAAGCCATAAAATTGCTTCCAGATGACCAACCATGAAATGGAAAGACAGCCTCATTTGTGAAGGTAGAAATCAGATCATCTCCCTCTGAGAGGAATCCGGAGGACACAGGCACTTTAGTGATTCTGTTGGATGGAGGGGGTTTTCTCATGACCATGTGTGAGGAGAATTGTCTTTTAGGATGAGGTGGATTGAGCCGAAACATGGAGCAAGTATGGACTCAGCCTGCTCCCTCCACCTGGCTCAGCCCTCCATGTTTCTGGGGCAGGGGAGAGAATCATAGCCCTTCCCTGGTCCAGGTCAAATGATGCACTCCTCTGGGAGAATGTTTCTGAGCAGGTGTCTGAGTCATATTTACGATGTTAAGCTCAGTGTTTCTTATGGTGCTGGGGAGACTATTCCCAGACAGAACAGAAGGTTGCAAAGCTATGTGTGGACCAAGACATCCTAGCACTTGCTCTTGACTATCATGAAATTCAGGATCCAGAGAGATGACCTCACCCCACTTAACCAGTTGCTTTTCCTCCTGAAAGAATAGGCCACCATTGTGGTTTCCATTGAGTACCAAATAGCAGGTTTCTGCAAGAGTCCTCCAAGAAGCTATGGAATTAAAAGAGGTGTTAGTTTAGATACAAAAACAATGTGAAACCCATGCAATGTTCTTTCATAATTGGCATTTTCTATCAGCTATTTGAAAATTCCGTTGTATGCATATATTCCAAATTGGTTTGCACCAGACCAGTTTTGTGTTTTAACTCCATTCTCCACTAACTGTCTGAAACAATCTTGTATCTCGTTCAGAGCCATTGCCTTTGATATGCCATGCCTCCCTGAGCTTTGTCAATTGTCGGGTTGTTGGTTGATTTTATAGTGAGTTGGAAAGAATGGTGACATTGTCTGGGATCCAAACATGAGCAGGTTTCAAATGCCAGAGGAATGAGAACATGGCATCTGAGAGTCCGAGAGAGAGAGAGAAAGAGAGAAGTATAGGATATGTACAGTCAGCAATTGGGGGAACTTTACCTTTATGTCTTCAGATGATCACGCTATGAGGTGCCCGTTTTCCAGCTCTGTCCTGTAAACACCTCCAGGCTTAATTTCCTATGAGGTTCCATGGAGCATCCCTGCACGCTCATTTCTATTGTATTCACCCAGGTTGCCCTTGGGACTCTGGAACACTTTGCTCCATCTCCCTCATCCACACCACAGTGAGTCAGTAACCTGTACAGAACATGTGTTGTGTACATTACCTGGCTAGATAGGTGCAAGGCACTGTCACAAAAGCAGAGCAGAAAGGCTTGGCAACACGGGGTGTGCGGGCCACCAGGGGAGATGCTCTTGCACAGTTTCCAGGAGGGAGGCCTCTACTCTGCTCCGGGCAGTGCCTTTTGACGAGGTCAGGGGCTTGATGCAGTCCCCAGCATGGCAAGTTCTGGGGTCAGGTCTCCGTGAATGACGGGGGCCCTCCTGCTCAGCCTCGGGAAGCTCATTCCGCTCGGCAGACCCAAGCCCGAGTGTGCACAGAGCTTTAACCACCCCTCGCTTCTCTTGTTTTCCAGAGAGAGGATGCAAGCTATGGAGAAGCAGATTGCCAGCCTCACAGGGCTTGTTCAGTCTGCGCTGTTCAAAGGGGCCATTCCAAGTAATAGCAAAGATGCCTCTAGGTAAAGAAGGACCGAGCGAGTTGACAGCGACCAAATTCCATTGCTTTCTCTTTAATCATTAAGATCATTTCATTCATTAAATCTGTTTCCTTGTAATCATTCCAAGGCTGCCCATATTCGCGGTTTTTTTTTTTTCTAAATCACAGCCGGGGAGCTGAGGGGTACAGGGGAGATGGCTCATGTCTGTTTCCTTTCTGATGATTCTTGGTCTCAAAGGTGCCAGCTTTGGGCCAAGAAGGGTGAGCGTGCTTCGTGCATGTTGCTTTCACGGTGCCCACCACACATGTCCACGCCCACAGTCATGTCACAGCCATGCGTGAGCCAGGCACTGTGCAGTGCACACTGAGTGGGAGGTGGGGGGCAACCATCTCCATCCCCAGCCAGATGTGGTGCTGATGCAGAGACCCTCGTGGCTTCATCTCATCGCTGCTGGTTGCGTTGAAGTGCAAACAGAAGATGGGGGGAAAGGGCATTTCAGGGCGCTGGGCTGCTGATGATCTTTTTCTTTCCATTCAGTGAGAAAATGGTGAAGACGGCAGCCAGCAGGAGCCACACTGATGGTGCAGGTGAGTGAGCGCCCCAAAGGAGCACAGTGATTCCCCACATCACAGTGGCATCTCGGCTGATGCAGAGACGTCATCAGAGCTTTGTCCTGTTGAGTCATTCATCTGGACAGCTCAGGAATGGTTGGAGGAAGGGTCATGGGGTCCCTGGGTGGGATGGTGGACTTGATGCATGCCCTTCAGATGTCATAGAGCTGCCAGTCTCAGTCATAGAACTCCTGTAAGGCAGGTGGACAAGGGACAAGTACGTGTCTGTGCCTTGAGTGTCTTGATATGTGTAAGGTTGGCTGATGCAGAGGACCAAGGTGCAAGTGGCCATCAAAGGGTTACAGAGGACTAAAGGAAGGGTAGGAGTAAGAGAAGCCATGGGGGTGGATGGCTTCAGGTATTGATCTGAGTGTAAGGGGAAGTCGATGGAATGTTCTGGGCCTGGAACAGATATTGGCCCAGCTACAGCGCAGACTTAACCAAGCAAACAAGAAGGAACCGGATGGGCCCGGCGCGGTGGCGCAAGTGGTTAAGTCCTCGCCTTGCACGCCCGGGATCCCATATGGGCGCCGGTTCTAATCCCGGCAGCCCCGCTTCCCTTCCAGCTCCCTGCTTGTGGCCTGGGTAAGCAGACGAGGACGGCCCAAAGCTTTGGGACCCTGCACCCGTGTGGGAGACCCGGAAGAGGCTCCTGGCTTCGGATCGGCATAGTATCGGCCCGTTGCGGCTCACTTGGGGAGTGAATCATCGGACGGAAGACCTTCCTCTCTGTCTCTCCTCTCTGTATATCCGCCTTTCCAATAAAAAATAATAAAAATAAATCTTTAAAAAAAAAAAAAAAAAAAAAAAAAAAAAAAAAGAAGGAACCGGAGGTCTGATTGCAAGAAGAGTGGGTCCCAGTGCTCCTTGGAGTCCAGAAATCCAACTACAAGGAGTCACTTTCACTGCCACTGTGGTTCCCTGGTGTGTGTGTGTGTGTGTGACACACCACCTGTCACGTAGTCCCCAGGTATGTGCACCGCCTGTCACCTCCTTCTGTCCCCAGGAGTGTGGTGTGTGTATGTGATCTGTCACCTACAGTCCCCAGGTGTATGTGCCACCTGTCACCTCCTGCTGTCCCCAGGTGTGATGACTGCTCAACAGGAGTGTGTCAAGTTTCTCACTTCCTCAAGACACCTGGGATAGGTTTGGGCCAACCTTAGTTTGGAGGAAGCCGCATGTGCTGGTCTGTGCTGCATGGGGAAGCGCACAGCACAGGAACTCTGTTGATCCCAGCCTAGCACCGTTCAGCCCCAAAGCCAGCAGGGCCGCCTGCCCCGTAGCTCACATCCTAAGCACACTGGTTGTTTGGCTGTGGTGTTAGCCAGTGGCCTTGGCTGAAGCCAGAATCGCTACGCTGACCTTCGCAGCAGTGGCCAGTTTGTTTTGGACATCTCTGCTCATTCCTCGGGAACTTCGGGAGGAAAACGGAGAACAGTTAACCCTGAAACTCCCCATGCCTTTGTGACCCACTGTGCCAGTCATCAGTGTTCACCACTACCGTGCCCTCGGCATTCTCTTCTTCTCCACTTTTTGGTTAATTCTTATTTATTCATTTTCATTTTATTTGAAAGTCAGAGAGACAGAGGGAGTGAGGGAAAGGGAGAGGCCTTCCACTTATTTCACTCCACCAAATTGCTGCAGCAGCCAGAACTGAGCCAGGCTGAAATCCACATCCAGAAACTCCATCCCCATCCACCCTCTCATGGCAGGGCTCCTAGTCCTTGGGTCACGGTCGTGCTGCCTCCCAGGGTGCACAGGAGCAGGAAGCTGATACAAAGCCAGGACTTGCAGACACCCATCTGCTTATGCTGGCGTATCACCCACTGCACCCGATTCCCACCTCCCTTTTCACTGTTGGGATTCTAACTAGGAAACAGTGAGCAAATGCTCTGTGTGTGTGCTGGGCACTGTTCCCAGGGCTTTGATGCCTCCATCCGTTAGCTCCTGACAACGGCCTCATAGGAAAGCTGTTGACCTTAAAAATTATTCTTTCATTTATTTTAAAGACAGAAAAAATCTTCTACCTGCTGGGTTTTATTCCCTGAATGGCCCCCAAACAGCAAGGGACAAGCCAGGCCAAAGCCAAGGACCTAGCACTCCACCCAGGTCTCCTACATTGGGTGACAGGGACCCATGTACAGAGTCATCACCTGCAGCCTTCCCGTGTGTGCACAAGCCGGGAATGAACGCAGGTGTCCTCATGTTAAAGGCAGATATTCCAAGATGCAAGTTAACTGCCAAGCCGAACTCCCACCCCAAAAGCTGCGATGGTTACTCTCATGTTCCCTGTGAGGACCCCGGACATGCGTTCTCATGTGTGCAACAAGTGGATATGGTGTGCTGTCACCACCTCACCTTGTTGCACACTGAGCTACCCTGGTCTCTGGAAAGGGACTTGGTGTCTCTAATGAATGTCAGGGAGGAGCAAGTGAGATTCGGTTGTCCCACGGTGGCATCGGTGAGTGTGGGGGACAAACAGAGCAGCTGCTGGCATTCTGTGCTGTGAGTGAGCCCATCTGTGATGCTACAGGCAGCCTACATGCACGCACCCACACACATGCATGTATACACACTCAACATGTGCACACACACACACTCACTCCCTGCGTCCCTGCCCATCTAACCCAGCACACTGAATGTTGCCAGAATCCACAGATGCCAGACACATTTCAGGAGACAGGGTGCCGGTTACTTGGACAAAGAAACAGAATTGTATGAGAGTCAGGGGACGCCTCTGACCATGGGGCATAGCCAGGAGAGACCCAGGAAGTTCTGTGTGTTATGTCACTTAACACACAGAGCCCTTAAAGGAAGTTGGTATTGTCCCTAGTTTTTTAAAAGAAAAAGTTATTTATTTGAAAGGCAAGAGTTACAGAGAGACAGAGCTCTTCCATCCATCACATGGTTCATTCCCCAAGCGGCTATCACCGCCAGAGCAGGGCTGCTTCAAGGCCAGGAGCTCCTTCTGGGTTTCCCATGTGGGTACAGGGGCCCAAGGACGGGCAGTTCTCTGCTGTTGTCTCAGTCATTAGCTTCCTTATTCAAAGTCACACAGCTAAGGCAAGACTTCAGCCCAGAAGTTGGGATGCCCACATCCCAGTCCCTGGGTCTGATGCCCAGGTACAATTCCTGCCTCCAGCTTCCTGCCAGGGCAGAATCCAGGAGTGATGGCTCAGGGGGTTGGATCCCTGCACAGCTCATGTGGGAGACCTGAATCCCATTCCCAGCTCTTGGCTACAGCCCAGCCCAGTCTCAGCCGCATGTGGCACTGGAGGAGTGAACCTGCCATTGGAAGTTGTTTGTGTCTCCACTTGGTGTGTCACAGCTGGTAAGAGCAACAGCCAGTCTAAGCCACCTCCTGGACCCAGGTTCCTTCTGGCCTAGTGTCACTTTGGAGGTCATGGCGTGGTGTGCGTGTGTGTGTACCTGGGTTTCTGCTAGGCGATGATGTTAGGATATGTCAGAGCTGCGATCCTATGGCACAAAGGACCCTGGTCAGCTGGGCTCCATGGCACATCCTTTCTAGTCCCAGCTGCCCTCCGGTGCCACCCTACCTGAAGAACATGGAGGAAAGGTTTGATTTTGTTTGCTCCTGAAGAACTTAAGGTCATGCCTCATTTCCTCAGCCAAGGAAGCAAAGGCAGACTTTGGGTCCTGGAGCAGAGCAGCCCCACCCATATTTTTCTATTTGCTAATTTTTCTATGATAAAATTAGAGATATGCACCATGATTCGAAAATATCAAGGAAAAAATAGTCATAGGAAAGGCAAAATGTCTGGCACTCCACCAGCCGGAGAAGCAGTTTACCCTCTGACCCCAAAACCCAAAAGGCTGCTGGGTCTGAAGCTTTTTGAGTGCCAGCCCGGAGAAGCACAGTGGCTTTGGAAGGGTTGTGGATTTTGGATTTCCAGGGTGTGGTTGCTCGGTCAGTGATGTCTGAGTGAACAGTCTGCAAACTGCAACACTTATGGTCCCAGGGGCGAGGCATGGTTGGACGAGCGATGCTTTCCCTGTACCTCCAAGCTGTGTGCTGACGCTGTGTGTTTACAGGGGAGGGCGGGAAAGGCACAGAGAACTGGGAGAGAAACAACTGGGAAGGATTAAGCATGGAGAAAGGAAGATACGCCAGAGTGGCAGTCTGGGAAGTAGAGGCACAGATACGTAGAGAAGCAGGTAGGGAGAGGTGAGTAGGTGGAAAGATAGATAAAGCTTAGACAGATGGTTGGATGCATGGATGGATGGATGATAGAGGGGCTGGCACATTAGTATAGCAGGCTAATGAATTTTCCACCCATGGTGCTGGCATCCCATGTGGGTGCCAATTCATGTCCCAGCGACCCCGCTTCCCATCCAGCACCCTGCTTGTAGCCTGGGAAAGCAGCAGAGGATGGCCCAAAGCCTTGGGACCCTGCACCCATGTGGGAGACCAGGAAGAAGCTCCTGGCTTCAGATGGGCTCAGCTCCAGCCATTGCAGCCACTTGGGAAGTAAACCAGAGGATAGGCGATCTTTCTGTCTCTCCTTCTCTCTCCCTCTGTAAAAATGTGTCTTTCCAATGAAAATAAATAAGTCTTTAAAAAGGAAAAGATAGGTAGATGATGAATAGTTATGCAGGTAGAAACAAGTAGATGGAAAGGTAGATAAACACTCTACAGCTAAGTAGAGATAAGTAGGAGGAAGGTAGATAGAGTAGATACAAGCTGGACCTGTTCTTTGGCCTGCCTGCCCAGGACACTGACCTGTAGGATGTGATGCACACTGCCTACAGACTGCACCCCAGAGTGCTCTGTGCATGTCTGTCATGAGGAGCGGGGATAGGCGTGTCTCCCACGTGGGCTCCCCTGGCTGCCCTTCTCATCTCAGCTCCTCCCCTGTTCTTTCCTCCTAGGCACGTCTCATGTTCCTGGCAGGAAGACCCCGGAGTCTGCCATGCTGCCTGGCCAGCCTGCACCCCCCGGCACCTCAGCCATTCACCTGAGCCTGCTGGACATGCGGCGTAGCGTGGCCGAGCTCAGGCTCCAGCTCCAGCAGATGCGACAGCTACAGGTAGCCACGGGCAGCTGCCATGGCCTGCTCTCTCTCCTTCCTGCCCCACTGGTTCCTTATGTCTTCTTCTTGGAGGGGCTCACTCACATGTGTGCTCCTGGCCTGGGTGGGATGCATTTCCAGCCACTTGGAGCCATTCATGCTTTTATTTTCATATGCACTTGGTTGAAGGGTAGGAGGCAAACTGGCAGGACAGAGTCCCGAAGGCTTCATCCTCCTGCTCCTCCATCTTCCTCCTTTTCCATCCTCCTCCTCCCACTACAACGAGGTACAGGGTGTAACTACTTTATGGTCCAAGGAGCTGGGAATGTACAGAACACCAAAGTTTAAAACTGAAGACAGATAGGAATTGAGGTGATGCTGGGTGACTTGCTGAGACATACACCTGCATGTTCCTGGCACAGTGTGTTTGTTCCATATGTGTCTCAGCCTTGTCCACCACTGAGCCATATATAAACTCCACAGGTATCTAGGCACTGCGGAGAAAAATGTGTGTGTGTGTGTGTGTGTGTGTGTGTGTGTGTACATACGTAAAGACACTTTGCAATAGAACAGAGTGTCCCAGGTCGGCTAGCAGTTGTATGCAAGGTGACAGATACGCACCTCCACCACATCCAGCAGGTAGACTAGACAAGGGTGTGGTCAATGGTGCGCAAAACAATAATTGCCCGTGAGCCCAACAGACAGATGAAATGAGAGACCAGTATTTCTAGGTGTTTTAATATTTCTAGAGAACCCTGGAATACAGGCTCCATAGGAAATACCTCATCTTAAAAATGTCAGAAAGTCACAGAAAACTCCGTTTTAGCACTCTGCAGGCCCGAGGTGGCCTTGGGATCCCCAGTTCTTTTTCTTTCTTTTTTTTTTTAAACATTTATTTGTTCTTATTGGAAAGGCAGATATTCAGAGAGGAGGCGAGACAGAGAGGAAGATCTTCCTCTGTTGATTCACTTCCCAAACATCTGCAATGGCCAGAGCTGAGCCAATCCAAAGCCAGGAGCCCAGAGTTTCTTTTTGGTCTCCCACTTGGTGCAGGCTCCCAAGACTTTGGGCCATTCTCTTACTGCTTTCCCAGGCCACAGGCAGGGAGCCAGAAGGGAAATGGGGCCGCCGGGCTAAGAACCGGTACCCATATGGGATCCTGGTGCGTGCAATGCCGGGCTGGGGGGGCCCCAGTTCTTAACCAGAAGTTTAAGGAAGATTATGATGCCACCTTTCACTGTCCCTGCATTTTTAGTGCCACCTGCTGGCTTTTCTGAAATGATGCTCTGCTCATTGAACCTCCACCAGAAAAACTGAATGTGGTGGTGGGACTAAGTTACTCTTCACAGGGAGCCCTTGGCTGTTAGAGAAAGGGTAGATTCACTTTGGTGTAAGCAACACAAGTGCCCCGGGTGCTTCCTGGGTGTCAGAGGCCAAGGTACAGCTGCAGCCACAGACCATGGCCAGGTTGGTGGCGGGCACGGCTGGGCACTCCTTGGTAGCCCTTGCATGACAGCAGCAGCTTTTTCCATCAAAAGATGAAGCTCAGGGTCTGTGCACTGGGGACGTTTGTGAAGGACTTCAGATGGCACTGATGCGTCACTAAGGTTGAAACCCTGAGTTTAGGCTTTAGGCTGAACTCACGTGAAAGTGAAAAGGAAGGCTGGTGTTGCCCAGCCAGTTGAGCTGCTGCTTGTGGCACTGGCATCCTGTGTCTGGGGTCCTGCCTGCTCTGCTGTCAGTCCATTTCCTTGCTAGCACATCTGGGAAGGCAGTGGAAGATTGTCCGAGTGCTTGGGCTTCTGTCACCTATGTCGGAGACAAGAATGGAGTTATAGGCTGCTGGCTTTGTCCCAGTCCAGTTCCGGCTGCTGTAAGTATTTGGGCTGTGAACCACTGGATGGAAGTTTCTCTCTCTCTCTCTCTCTCTCTCTCTCTCTCTCTCTCTCTCTCTCTCTCTCTCGCACTCTGCCTTTCAAACAAATCTTAAGACTGGGGCCAGTATGGTGACTCAACTGGCTAGTTTTCCACCTAAAACCACCAGCATCCCATATGGATGCTAATTCAATTTCCAGCTGCTCCACTTCCCACCCAGCTCGCGGTTTATGGCCTTGGAATGCAGGGGAGGATGGCCCAAAGCTTTGGGACTCTTTATCTACATGGAAGACTCAGAGGAGGCACCTGACTTCAGATCAGCTCAGCTCCAGCTATTAAAGCAGCAGATGAAAGCTCATCTCTGATGTCACTGAGGCAGACTGGAGATCAGGCTGTGGGAATCCAGAAAATTCCAGGAAAGGAGCTGCTGCCAGATATCAGGAATGCTCAGCCCACAGAGATGCTGAGATGGGTCAGGGTGAACAGAGAGGGTGAGGCAGGGGCAGGAGGGATACCAGAGCCTTGTGCAGTGCCCCCAACCCTGAGTCACACGTGGTCTGTAGCTCTCACAATCAGATGTTGTCCTTAGCCAACATTTGCCCAATCCCTTTCTCTATATGATTAGGGGAGAAAATCCCCTCGAAAAAAATATCTTTTTTTCCAAAACGCCATAGAACTTGCATTTTTACCAAGATGACCCCATATCCACAGAAACCACTATTGTCCCTCTCTAATGTGCCAAGCGGTGAGCGAAGTTTCTAGAAGCAGTGGTACAGGTTCTTTGGACGCCAGATGAAACCTATCTTGCATTGAGAGAATAGATGCCTTCTTCTGTTTCTCGGAATTCCCAGTTTCTCCGTGCCCTCTGTCTCCTTGTTCTGTTTCCTAAGAAATCAAAAAGTAGGCTTCTTCTTCCTTAGTGTTAGAATTTTAAGACAGCTGAGAATTTTCTGTTCCTTCCCACGAGGGGGAGGTCAAACAAACAGCAGCAGCACCCGACTCTGCTGCACTCAAGGCAACATAATTTGACACAGACATCTTCTTATATCTGTCCTGTAAGATAAAGGCTTATAGGGTCCCTGTTGGCTACTGACATCCAAGTAATGGCCATGTCCCTGTGGAGAGCTTGCCGGAATGGGGCTCATATGGAACAGACATGTTTTCCTGCTAGCCAGGAAGGACAGACTATGGAAGGAATACAGGGATTGGCACTTGGGCTCCCAGATGGATGGATGGATGGATGGATGGATGGATGGACAGATGGACGGGCGGACGGGCAGGCAGATAGGTGGATAAGTAGAAGGATGGCTGGTGAATGGGCAAATTCACAGGCATGCAGACAGACCAAGTCCTCATCAAACCTCCAGACAGCCAGAACCGTAGGAGATGCAGAGACAGCAGCCAGACAGCACACACCTGTACCCAGGAACCCTCTGTGTTGTCCCTGAAGCCTTAGAGGAAGTTATCCAGAAGATCAGGGGTCATTCAGGAGCCTGCATGTCATCATGAAATTTCTGGGTTTGTCATACTCTCCCCTGTCAGTGCTAAAAGAGCCCTGTCAGTCCCGTTGTGCTACCCACCGTCGGCAAGACCCACAGTCTCAGGCTTCACCTAAGTCAAGGTTGAGTATGTGAAGTTCAGGTCCATTCTAGGGGGAAGGAATTGGCTTCCAGAGGCTTGCTAGATCCTTCGTGAAGTTATTATAGGTAATCTACTTGGTCCAATTAAAGAGTTTATGACCGCGAACATTATTTCTGTCTAAGTGAGCTTATAAAAATGTCAGGATGGACTCAATAAATCCTGCTTCCAGGTAGAAGGGAGGAACTGCCTTGCCTCCCCACAGTTAACTACTGAGAAAGTGAAAGAGAATTGGCGAAGCAGCTGCATTCAGATGTTGGGCAGCACACGGCACAGGGCAGTGACCCTTCAGAGAATGGAAACTTGGAATTCTCTCAGCTTTCTGCCTGGAGGCACGGCCCACGTACGAGGCAGAAACAGAACAGGCTGACAGGGCAGGCTGATCTGAACTGAGAGAGAGCTTGAACTGGAACAATAGAATACCAGATAGAGGAAGGCTGCCTGGGAAAGAAACTGCTTAAATCTGTGGGTCTTTGAGCGAGCAATCAGCCACACATGGTGACCATTCTTAAGGACTTAGAGGAAAATATAAAAATAGTGAGATGATAAATAGAAACTGTTTAAAAAAAATGTTGAAATGAAATTCCCAAGAGCTGAAAGACACAGTATCTGAGTGGGCCTGATAGAAGATTAGTCACTCCCTAAACACAAGTTGAAAATATATCAATAGCGATATTGTCTAGGCTGAAGTACAGAGAGACCAAAGGCTGAAGGAGGTGAACTAAGCCTCAGTGACCTGTAAGATGGTGTGGAGGGGCCGAAGGAAAAGAGATATTATCTGAGGTCTTTTCCAGATTTTGTGTAAGGTATAAATCTATAACCTAAGGGGGGAAAAAGCCCTAGAATGGTAACCACAAAGGAAAATACCCCAGCTCACACTGGTTGATTACAACAGGAGGGACATAGAGGAGAGTAAATAGGGGTTAGTGACACATCACAGCTGGGAAATACAGAAGATAGGAAACAACACTCATTTCTCGTCAGAAACTAAAGACAATGCGGAAGATAAATGGCGGCTTTTTGACTGGGAGGGAAAAAAAGGTTACAGAAAACAGAAGACATTTCCCAACTCATCTTGCAAAGCTAAGTAAAGCACATCCCTTAACAAAATATTAGAAGTTGGAGCCAGCAATCTACAAAAGGCATGATACATGATTCTGCTGTTTTAGAGTTGATCATCCAATGCTGAACATAGCCATGGTGTGTATATGTCAGCTTTTTGGTACGCGGTTGAACGATCCATGGAAGCCTGGTGGATGATGGGGCGCGTGCAGGCAGGGGTCACGTGGTTAGCCAGAAAGGGGCAAGAGAAAGGTAGCAGGCACCCCTTCCATGTCTACACATATTTGTAGAAAGCCACCATCACCAGTAACCAATCATCGGGCTGTACCCTAGGACCTAATCCACTCTAATCACTTCTGCAAAGCCCTGCCTTCACATACCATAATCATAGTTCCCACCCTAAACCATTAGCCATTTTCTAAAGAGCCATTATGTATGTATTTGAAAGACACAGTTATAGAGAAGGGGAAGAGAAAAGTCTTCATTTCTGCTGCTTCATTCCCTAGATGGCCTCAACAAGCCAACACTGAGCCGATTTGAAGCCAGGAGCTTCTTCCACATCTCTCACATTTATGCAGGGACCCAAGAATATAGGCCATCCTCCACTGCTTCCCAGGTACCTTAGGAGGGAGCTGGATCAGAAGCAGAGCAGCCATTACTCAAACCCATGACCCTGTTATGGGATGCTGCCATCACAGGCTTCAGCTTCACGTGTTGTGCTACAACACTGGACCCTAATCCATTAACCACCAATGTAAGACTCTGAGAACACCCAAAGGACTCATCAGCCCACTGCACCATGACATCAGGAGCAGAACCCCGTGTTCAGCTCTCCCTCACAGCACAGAGACAAACCTAGCAAGCACAGGGAGACCAGGGACAAGAACAGAGACAGGCAGCAGTGAGAAGTACATCTTCGTATACATAACACCAAGCAAGTTCTAGACAACAGTGCATTTAACCTACAAATCTCACGTGCTTGGTAGATGCCTGCAGCACCACTCAGCCATCAAAAGACGGGATCACTGGAAGACACAATATGAGGCTGAGTGTCGAAAACAGCCACTCCTTCCAGACGGGATGTAGTGCATCCTTGGAGGGTGAAATTCCTCGTCCATGACTTTCTAGAGTTGGGAAAGCTCATTCGAAGGGCCCGGGCAGGAGGGAGGGCACTGACGGGAAAGGGACGAGAAGGAGCTTGTGTGGGGTGTTTAACAGTCGTTTCTGCCTTTGCAGTAGTCAGAATTCGTTGCTCTGTGCACTTGCCACACATGTACTTTATCGCTTGTAAGCCATACCTCTGCGGAACTGATTTTTCTTTTAACATCGTAATCAAGATTTCGGCATCTAACTGCCAAGGTGATAGTTTGAACATCTGAGCACTAACTTGCTGGCAACTCTTAGACATAGTGTGGGTCCATATCCGGTCTTCAGGACTTCCTGTTGTCCCCTGCTGGGATGAATGGGGACGGACCTGTGGCTCACAGCCAGTGAGAGTGGAGGAGGGTGGACAGAGGGCTACCTGTGAGTTGCATGGCCTGCAAGTGCTATGAGAAATCCTCCCACTCCCTGCCCCCACAACAGTGCCCCAGCTGGATGCTGCCTAGCCCTTGTTTCTGGAACTAGGTGTGATAGATTGGAAACCTTGCTCCCCTCCTGGTCTAGTGGAGTAGACCAGTTATTGAGTACAAGGATGTGCTGCCAGCACATCCTCTCCCTCCTCAGAAATGTCAGTGTGATCATTATCTGCAGGAAATACACAAGAGGACTAGAGGGAAAAGGAAAGAGGGAGGGAGAAAGGAAGGGAGGGAAGACAGGAAGTAGGATAAAAAGACAAGCCTGTGGTACAGGAAATTTAGAAACCGACCCCTAGTTTTTTGTTGCTATACATCGTCTGTGACCTTGTTGAAGATTTCTGATATTCACTATGTGCCTTGATGGACGAACTCCTGGGGGCAGTGGAAAAACACGGTGAGAGTGAGTTCAAAAGGACCGAGTCCCAAGGCTGCCTGTGCCCTACCACTACCAGGTGACCCCTGGAGAAGTCTTGTGACCTTCCAGGATCCCACTCTTCCCATCTTCGGGATTTCAATGTCAAATATCTTTAGCCCAGCAATTATTTCTGTCTCAATCACCAGTGTTCATATCTGCCGCCAACCAGGCCATGGCTTTAACGGAGCTCCCGTGTGGGAATGACACTCAGGTCGGAGGGTGACATACAGCTCATGGTGTGGAGATGTCATTGGTGCATCCCAGAGTCCATGCATAGCAACAAGTAGGAATGACCTAAGGAACTTCCCATTGCCAATATACCCACCCAGACCAACTTTCAGGCCTGTTTATTTACTTACTCGTCTCTTCAGCTCCACACATCCCCCTCCCTTTTAAAGCAAGGGATCTCATGGGAGCTGGCCCATGGCATTGAACTCGTGCTTACCGTATTGCTGACAAGTCTTATGAATGCACATGTCTAATTGCTGGCCTGCAGACCTGCCAGACACAGCCGTCAGAGTAAAGCAGCCTGTTAAGGCTGACCCCAAGGGTGCTCAGACCAGACATCCAGAGATGTCAATATCTTAAACAAGAATTTTGGATTGGTCATCGTTGGCTGCTATTGTCACACATTCCTACTTGATCCAGCATACTCATTCAAGAGATAAGTATGAAGTTTCCATTCAGGAATAGGGTCGTGCAGACTTCATCAAATGTAGAAATTGGAACAGGAGCTGGGCATCACAGGTCCAAAGTCTCTGCAGTCAAAAGGAGGATAGCAAGTTGGGAGAAATGGCTGGATGTTGTGGAGAGGAGAGTGGCCATAGGTGCAGGCCCCAGAACCATGTGGACAGAGCCACCTGTTGCCTTCCTGGGCTCATTTAGCAGGAAGCTGATTTAGAAACAAGTTACCAGGCTTCAAACCTACCCTGCAATGTAGGATGCTGTGTTGTGAGCAGGTGCCTTGAATCTGCTGCTACAGAAGCCCCAGGAGGAAATCGGCCTCTGAGCATCGTTTGCCCAGATGGTTCTGTCCTGCAAGATACAGTGTGCCAGCCAGCACCTGGGAAAGATGTGATCCTAGGTCAGAGAGAGTTCACTGAGACTGGCCCATTTCTCTCTGTCTTGTGCCACATGGAAGCTCGAGCCCCAACCCCAGCTTTTTGCTCCCCATAATAGCTAGTGCGTGTTCAGAACTTGAGTGATGCCATCCACTTCTGAAAGCCCTTTTCTTCCACCATCAGCCAACCTGTTACTTGCCATATACTATGGACAGCTGGCCTCTGGTCAACTCGCTACCAGGTGGTGGAGCCAGAAGGCGAGCCCAGGCCCATGCCTTGCAGTGCTGACATGGGGGAACCTCATGCTGGCCCTGCCTATGGCGCCTGCGCAAAAGCTGTGTGCTTCCCTAGAGACAAAGGCGGCCCAGGTGCTAACTGCTTGGAATGGTGTGTGCAGGTGCTTGGCACCAGTCTGGGGACTCCCACAGCAGTTGAAGAGCTGTCCTGTGAAAAATCGGACAATATCTGGGGGAAAATGTGTGCGTGTAAATTTCGGGAGGAAGTCGAGGGATCGTGTGGTAGGGATATGACAATCATTGCTGACAAGACTGGCTGAGGGAACGAGCCTGTGTTATCCACAAATCACCCAGCCCCAGACATCCAGGATTCTACAAGATCTTTGTGAAGCCGGATGCCAACCAGCTCATCCACATGCTCCCTGGGATCACCAACAAATGTGTTCCAAAAAAACTGTATGGAAACAGCAGGCCCCAGGGACAGAAGCCACCTGTGTCAGTTCCCGGGAAGTGAGTCTGTGGCCTGGTGTGTCTGGAATCCTCACCGCTGTCATCACCTAGTCCCCTGTGTTAAGGACTTGTGGTACCATGGTCTCTGGTGCACAGAGCCATGCGCATGAGAGGGAGGCAGCGTTTGCTCTAACTGACCCTACTGCATGGCTCATGGCCGGATCAGCCTTTGCTGAGGACCCATTTTGCACCATATGTTATCTCATGGGATCCTCACAAGCTGAGACAGGCTGAAGCCAGAAGCCAGGCACTACATCTGAGTCTCCCCACCAAGTGGCAGGGGTCCAAGTGCTTGCAACATCCTTTGCTGCCTTCCCAGAAGTATTTGCAAGGAGCTGGATCGGAAGCAGAGCAGCCAAGAGTTGAACTGGCCGTCAGATATGGGATGCCAGCCAGCAGCCATTTAGACTGCTGTACCACCAGGCAGGCCCCAGGTCCTATCACACATGTGTATTGAGATATATATGATACATGTAATTTTATGTTACATGTAATGCATGCTTTCTCTCTCCCACTCCTTCATCCGCCTTCAAGTGGATCATCTGAGCAAATATTTTAAAACACATGTATCAATGGGGTTTTTTTGTGCCTTCAGGGTGTGGTGCACCAACCAGAGTGCAGCAAGGGTCTGATTTTTGTCAGACATTCGAGGCACACAGCTGCTAACTGCCTGTTGGCTACTGGGAGTCAGACGTTGGGTTGAAGCAGCATGTTTTTATCCCATGGAAATAAGTGTACAATACAGCCACCTGGTGGTGGCTTCCCTGGAACCCAGTTCAGCTGACGTTGCTTTGATCTGTAGCTGCAGAACCAGGAGATGCTTCGGGCCATGATGAAAAAGGCAGAGCTGGAAATCAGCAGCAAAGTTGTGGAGACCATGAGGCGCCTGGAGGACCCGGTGCAGAGACAACGCACCCTGGTGGAGCAAGAGAGGCAGAAGTATCTACGGGAGGAGGAGAGGATCGGCAAGAAGCTGGGGTGAGTGCTTGTCTCTCGCTAGTACACGCCAATTGGTCTGCGCCCACCAGGAGGCCCCTCTGGGTATGTTCCCGCCTGTGTGTAGTGAGCGCTGACTGTTGCCCAAGCCAGGGCTGTGCTGGTTGTGGAGACTATTGGTGGAGCTACCCAGCCCTACTGTCAACTTGTTCTAGGTCTGGTGGCAGCAGGATTTAATGCAGAGGCCTTCCTCAGGTGCACCTGAGCCAGTACACGGTTCTTGTTGATGCATCCCAAGTCCCACCACTAAAGGCACAGAGTTTTATGACACCCTCTGCCCTTAGGCTGCTGCACCTTCTGTGTAAAACAGATTTATTTTATGGGAAAGCCAGCATTAGAGAGAAAGAGAGATCTTCCATCAGCTGGTTCACTTCCCAAATGGTTGCAATGGCAAGAGTTGGGAACTATCCTGGTCTCCCACATGAATGACAGGGGTCCAAGCACTTGGGTCACCTTCCACTGCTTTCCCAGGAGCATTAGCAGGGAGCTGGATGGCAAATGGAGCAGCTGGGACTCAAGCCTATATGGGATGCCCGCACTGCAGGTGGCAGCTTATTGTTCTACACCACAGTGCCAGCCCCAAGAGGCTATGCATCTTTTAAGCAAAGGTCAGGTGCCAACCACCCTCAACAGAGGCTACGAACACAGCATCTGGTAGCCTGTGCCCTGTTCACTGATCAGAACCAACCATTCAGATTACGTCATATTGATGACCAGATCAGGCCCTTCGCTTCAGCAATTATCTGAGCTCTCTATCTAAACTGGGTCTCATGACCCCAGGAGCAGCAGGGATCTGGGCATGCACAGTGGCTTCTATGTCCCATAGCAAACAAATGAGTGCCATGGTGGAACCTGGGGTGTCTGTGGTGTGTACAGGGAGAAGGATCACAAAATGCATGAGGCTGAAGTAAACTTTCAAGCAGTGACATGGCCAGAGGGCAGCCTGCAGCACTGGATGTTTTTTTCTTTTTTTGTTTTTTTTGGTGGCCGAGGACAGGACAGTGTGTGTCCATCACGCACTAGCAAGCAGTGCTGTTGGGACATGTCCTGCAAAGGGACTTGGAGCTCCTGGGGGGAGTGGCCGGAGAGGAGGTGTCCTGGGGGAGCCTCTTCCATCAGAAGCCTGCACCTGTTACCTCCATCACAGGAGAGGTCATGGGAGCTCCATGCTGCCCCCTGGAGGTGGACAAGCTCATTGCTTCCCTGCAGTCCTGGATGAACACATCACACATACATGCACAGTTTCACATACATGTGTACACACTACGCATAGACATACACAAGGACTCATATACACAAAAATACACCTATATTCCCACAGGCACACATATAAATACATAGAGAGATACACACATCGCACATACGTGCACACATACACAGAGACATACACACTCACAGAAAATATATATAGACACACAAGAAAGCATCTACATGGACACAGGCACACCCAGACACACATACGGACACACACACACTAATAAGAATCATTTGGCTCCAAATGTCAAATGCTGAAGTTGAAAAGCCAGCCTGGGCCCCTGCCCTGCCCCAACCCCCACTGGGGCCCGGCACTCAGCCCTGACCATGGTCTGCTTGCTCTCTGCAGCGAGCTGGAGGAGTTTGTGGAAGACCTGAAGAAGGACTCCACGTGTACAAGCCGTGTGGTCACCCTGAAAGACGTGGAGGACGGGGCCTTCCTCCTGCGACAAGTAGGGGAGGCTGTGGCCACCCTGAAAGGTGAGCTTTGTGCTGGAGGGGACAAGACAGGAGGGAGGGACCCAGGTGTGCATGCGCGCAAAGTGGCCAACGCCTCACTGCTGCCTGCTTTGGCCCGCAGGGGAGTTCCCCACCCTGCAGAACAAGATGCGAGCCGTCCTGCGCATCGAGGTGGAGGCCGTGCGCTTCCTGAAGGAGGAGCCACACAAGCTGGACGGGCTGTTGAAGCGGGTGCGGGGCCTCACGGACGTGCTGACCATGCTGCGTAGGTGAGTGGCCAGCAGGGGCGGGTCCTCAGGGCGGGCTGCCAGGATGGGAAGGGGCTGGCATCTGGGAGGGGTGGAGTCTGGAAGGCCAGAGCTGGGGGGCTGGGAACCCAGGCTTCTGCCAAGCCCCTGTGCCACCTGTGCTGCTGTCATTCGTCAAGACTCCCTTCCACCTTGAATTTGTATTGCTGTGTGGCTTAAGATCCTAGGAGCTGCACAGGCTTGCTGCATTTTGCTGGCCCAGTGACATTTTGTAAAACGCCATTTCAAGGTGGGATTTTGTCTGCAAGAGTGTTTAGAAGTTGAAGAATGGATTTCAGGAATTGGGTATGCCTCCTTCGCTTCAGGACAGAGGTGGCCTCTGGGAGAAGAAATGGTGTGGAATTCAAGTCTTTAATTGCATCACCAAGTGAAGCTGGCTCTGCAGTGTTGGACTCACCTAGAAAAGAAAAGCCAGCTGTGCTCCCCCACCACCACCCAGATCCCAAGTCGTGCAGGCAGGGAAGACCCCAAGACATTGCCTCCTCTGGAACTTTCCTTGAAAAAAAAATTCCAGAATTTATTTCACGCCCACTCAAACTGTGCTAAACCATGCATAGGCAGGATTTGTGTTTCCAACTATGTATATGTATGTATGTATATATATATATATATATATATATATATATATATATATATTTGTGTTTCCAATACATATATATGTGTGTGTTTCCAACCTCTGTATACACATGTGCACACACATACACACACACACACATATATATATATATATAGAGAGAGAGAGAGAGAGAGAGAGAACTTGACCTTGACCAAGTTCATGGAAAATGAATATCACACACTTTTAAAAAAGAAACTGTGTTTTGATCTCAAATGGGTTGCCTTCCATAATGTGGGAGAAATTAATTTGGGGGAATTCTGTTCATCAATTATGATCATTCCATTTGATCAGATTTGTAAGAAAAATACATTCACTGTGCTGATGAAGATGAGGTGTGACCTTGAGAGCATGAGAACGTTCTCTGATCAGAAACAAACTCCTCCATAAAGAGTCTCTTGTAAGATGGCTGTACAGCTGCCTGCGCCTGTGCCCAGAGACCAAGTAGATCTGGATTCAAAATTTTTAAATCGATAATAAAACCTCATGCAGAGACCATACCTGGCTGAGGGCAAGAAGGGATGGCACCTGTATGAAGTTTGCTCATCAGGTCACTCAATTGGAGTCACCTAAGCCTTCTTTGTTAAGCACTCACCTGAACGGACTGCTGCTGGCAGCCTCTTGATGAAACCAAGAACCAACCGTGCTAAGCAAACACAGGCAGCTGGTGGCCTGGCAGCTGACTGTGCCACTCTTCCCTGTGCCCCTCCACAGCAGGGCAAAGGGCTTCTTACAGCCCAGACATGCAAAAGAATGAAGCTCTGTTGTCTGACCTGCCTGCAGTGAATGCCAGCTCTCAAAACACCAGGGATCATGTGTGTTAACCCTCTGTCTCAGAAACCCCATGTGGGGAGCTGGAGGAAGAGAAAGCAGGCAGGGGCCAGCCAGACACAGTTCAGAGACAGACTTGGGGGCTGGGGAAGGGATGGTGGTGAGTTGGCACGTGTTCAGCTTGAGGTTGTGGGGATGCTGTCCGGACCAAGATGATGACTCCTAGGTCACTTGGGACTTCGAAAATCAAGAGGTGGAATTGGAGAGAGACCCTTGCCTTGGTCAGCAGAAGGGGCTAGAGTGGGTGGGGAGGAGGGGATGGGAGCAGAGCCCTTGGGGCTTGAGTGCACTGGGATACCTGAACTGAAAAACAAGAGGAACAGAGGACCCGGATGTCTCAAATCAAGAAAGAGTATTTCATTGAAGATTTTTGTTTCTTGCTGGAAAGGAAAATTTAGAGAGAGAAGGAAAGATCTTCCACCTCCTGATTCACTCCCACTAATAGTATCCATGGCCCCGTGGTTGGGCCAGGCTGAAGGCAGGAGCCTGGAACTCCATCTGGGTCTCTCACTTAGGTGGCAGGACCACCTTTCCTAGGGAGCTGGATGAGGAGTAGAGCAGCTAAGACATAAGCCAGTACCCATATATATGCTGATATTGCAGGCCATGGCTCAAACCACTATGACATAGCACTGACTCCAGAAAGCACATTATAAATAGAAGGAAATGGGGCTGACATGTGACACAGTAGGTTAAGCATACAATGTCTAAACGCCAGTTCGAGTCCCAACTACTATACTTCCCATCTAGCTCCCTGCTAATGTGCCTGGGAAAGCAGTGAAAGGTGGCCCAAATACTTGGGACCCTGCTACCCACATGAAACCCAGGTGGAGTTTTGGGACCCTGACTTGCACCTAGAGACCATTTGAGAAGTGAACCAACAGGTAGAAGACCTCTGTCATTCCATGTCTTTCTGTCACTCTGCTTTTCAAATAAAAAATAGGTAAGTGTTTTTAAAAGAACAGGGACATGGAAAGAATAATTAAAAATTTGGAATCAGCACCAAGCTTTCTCTCACAAAGCACATGACCTCATTCTTGCCAATAACAAGACTCAATGGTAACATCATCATTGTCACTGCATTTACAGAAGAAGTTTCCAGGGCTCAGAAAGCTGGGGTTCCCACAGTGAATGGATGCTCACACACAGGCCTCTCCCACTCGTGCTCTGTGGGCAAGGGTGCACAGATGAAATACCATGGCTTCAGAACAACAGGAGGGTGAGGTCTGACCACAACCACCAGGTCACAGCCACCACTGACCATGAGGGAACATGGGAAAGCCAGGGAGCCACCAGAAGGGCCATCAGGAGGATCTGGAACACAGGATGGGGAGAAGGGGTTGACATGGGAGGCTCTGAGTGGGATCTGAGCATGTCCCAGGGCCACACACACCCAGTCCAGGTGAGGAGACTTGCTAGGCAACAAGATGTCTACACCACAGGATACCACCATCCAAAACAGAGATGGGATAATCTGTCAGGCACATCCACCCGATGGGATAGGAAAGAAACGTCTCCCTGTGGAAAGGCGTGGGCAGGCAGCTGCAGGGAAAACCAAGGGGTACTAGAAGGATTTGGGGGAGTTGCCTTGGAAACCCCCAGATCTAATATTCTGATTTTGCAGTGTTTCTGGCTGGTCTGCAAGTGATGTGTTTCCACTAATGCTTCCTCCTGGACATGGTTTGCCTTTGGAGTGATACTGTGTGTGTGCTTCCTCCTAGACATGTCACGGATGGGCTCCTGAAAGGTGCTGATGCCTCCCAAGCCGCTCACTACGTGGCCATGGAGAAGGCCACGGCAGCAGAAGTCCTGAAGGGCCAAGAGGAGGTCCCCAGCCCCAGCAGCGTGAAGCCGGATGTGGTGCCCCTGATGGTCCACCAGGCACAGAGCTCACCTGTGCTCCTGCAGCCCTCACAGCACTCACTGGCCCTGCCCAATCCTGGCCAGGCGGTGCCTATACCTGCAGGGACCACAGCTGCCACGCAGGAAGGAGGCCCCATGCCACAGTCCCCACAGACACCTGTGAGTGGCGCTACCATGCAAAGCCTGCTCATGGAGGACCTGCATGGTGTGGGTGCCAAGAACAGGGCCATGTCCATCGAGGTAAAGTTGTCCTCCTGGTATGTCTCATGGCCCCCTGCAAGGGAGGCCGACTCGGGGTGGGAGGGCTTTCCCTGTGACCAGTGTCAGTCTCCATCCTCAAACCTAGGAGCTGGGTGTTGAGGGCCAGGATCCCAGAAAACATTCTTGGGTTTCAGAGAGGAGGAAGAGACTCTGAACCTGTTACTCAAAGCCAGGCTGTGCGATGCTGGACAGGGGTTAACAGCTGGCTCCCTGTACAGAGAATGCTCCTGCATCTAATACCTGCTTGTTTCCATGGGAAGAGTACCATCCCCTATACCCACCAGTGTCAAACCACTAGGAATGCTCCATCCTACATCAGAGCCTGGGTTCCAGTCCCACAGCACACTGCCAATGCCAGCTTCTAGCCAGAACAGACTATGGCAGGCAGCAAGGGATGGCTCATGGCTTTGGCTACCCTAGGAGATCTGGGTTGGGTATTCAAGCTTCAGCCTTGGCTGCCACTGGCATTCGGGGCTCGAAGCAGCAGGTGGGAACTCTCTGTGTATGCTTCACTCCTGTGCACCTCCCAGGTGCATAAAATAGATGTTTCTAAAAGTAGGCACTTGTTTAAAAGGATAGTCTGAGTGTGAGTCAGAAAGAGGCATCTTCTATCCATCCACTGATTCACTCTCCAGATGGTTGCCATGGCCGGAGCTAGACTGGTACAAAGCCAGGAGTTACATGGGTACAGGACCCCAAAGACTTGAGTCATCCTCTGCTTCTTTCACAGAACATAAGCAGGGAACTGGATTGGAAGTGGAGCAGCTGGGACACAAACAAGTGCCCAGTTGGGATGCTGGTGCTATAGACAGGATTAGCCTAGTGTGCGATGACACTGGCCCCACCTCCTCCCATTTTATAAGGAAAAAAAAAAAAATCTGGCCCAGAAGGTCTTCTGGCAATTCTTTGAGATAAGTGGAGCTAAGGGTTGAGTTTATTCATGGTTTTTGTTTGTGTCGGTTCTTAGTGAAGGGTTTGTTTTTTGTGCGAACATGAAAAGTTAACAGAAGAAACCAACCATCGGTAGTGGGCAATGTCATTTAGGATGCATGACCCCTATGTTGGTGGAAATGTGTGCAGAGTTCTCACATCTGTAGAATGTTCTGGCACCTCTGAATGTCACTAGGCTATGATGGTGTCTGAACAACTGAAAGGAAGTGGGCCTGGAGTCATGTGTGCAAGGGACCCAGCCCAAGAACCAGGGGACACTCCTTCCAACTCCTTGGCTGCGTCTACCCTTCCCCACCCTGACAGAGATCTCCTAAGTGTCCACTCACTTTTCTTCTATCATTTGTGTGAACTATTCTTCCCTTGCTGGTTTCCTGCAGAAAGCAGAAAGGAAATGGGAAGAGAGGAGGCAAAACCTGGACCACTATGATGGCAAAGAGTTCGAGAAGCTGCTGGAAGAAGCTCAGGCCAACATCATGAAGTCCATTCCGAACCTGGAGATGCCACCAGCCCCAGGCCCGCCACCCAAGGGAGACGGCACGCTGGACAAGCTGGAACTCTCAGGTGAGAGCCCTGAGCCCTGGAGACACCTGCAGGGCCGTGTGACTAAGAGAGTGGGGCAGTGTGGTGCCACCCTAGGAATGTGTCCTGTCCCGCCACTTCAGAATCTTGGAAAAAACACATACAGCTGCTCCATTTTCGACACTGTGCTGCTAGACCAGCCAGGAGAACACAAGGCCTGTTTTTGAAATGAGTGTTTTCCTGAGACCAGCACAAAGATTCAACAGGCTATTCCTCTGCCTGCAAGTTGCAGTCTCCTTATGGGTACCAGTTCATGTCCTAATGGCTCCACTTCCCATCCAGCTCCCTGCTTGTGGCCTGGGAAAGCAGCAAAGGACAGCCCAAAGCCTTGGGAACCTGCACCTGCGTGGGAGACCCAGAAGAAACTCCTGGCTCCTGGCTTTGTATCATCTCAGCTGGGGAGTGACCCATAGCAATCTTTCTCCCACTATCTGCTTCTCCCTGTAAATCATGCCTTCCCTAAAAAAAAAAGAGAGAGAGAGAGAGAAATCTTAAACCCAGGGTTTTTCACATGCTGTCAAGAGAAAACACCAGCTTCTTTGAGCCCCTGAAAGGTTTTTAGACCATGAGGTGGAATTACATTTGGGGGAAGGGGGGTTCATCACAATTATTAGAAAGTATATTTAGCCAGCACAGATCCTCCAGGAGTTAAACATTTTTAAATCTAGACACCCAAGCTGTCAGTCTGTACCAAGGGTCTTATTCTGTCGCTCTCCCAGCTTGAGCTCTCTCTAGGACCCCTTGGATGGACAAATAGTACACAGACACAAGGATGTCTTCTTTCCCAGGGAAAATTTCTTCAGAATTTTTTTTTAAAGATTTATTTATTGAAACTAAGAGTGACAGAGAGAAAGGGATCTTCCATCCACGGATTCATCCCCTCCATCCCCCAGTGACAGCAACAGCTGGGTCCAGGCCAGGCCAAAACCGGAACCAGGAACACGTTCCAGGTCTCCAGTGTGGATGGCAGGGACCCAAGCACTTGGGACAGCTTTCTACTACCTTTCCAAGCCATTGTCAGGAAGCCAGATGAGAAAACAAAGGAACCAGGACTCAAATGTGCTCTCCCATATGGATGCCAACATTGGTGGCAAGGGTTTAACTCAATTGCACTATAACATCAGTCCCCAGGGACCTAAGTCCTTGGGCCACTGTCTGTTGCTTTCCCAAGCACATCAGTAGGGAACTAAGTCAGAAGTGGAGCAGCCAGGACTCAAAGTGATTGGTGCTTATATAGGATGCCTACATTGTAAGTGACAGCTTAACCCACCACTCACACCATGGGCCCTAAAGGCATTATTATAATACCCAGTTAACAGGTGAGAAAACTTACAGATAAAGTTACTCATGCAGGGTCTTTCTGAGTCTTTCATCAAGGGTCTATGCCCATCATCACCACTGTTTACAGGGCAGTTTTCAGTTAGATGGCACTGAGTTATAGCCATACACAGACCTGCGGACATTATCTTGCCAGGAGTTTATTTGCAATCTCACCCTGTCTTCCAGAAGATTCGCCAAATTCAGACCAGGACTTGGACAAGCTGGGGGGACGGTCCCCGCCTCCTCCTCCCCCACCCCCGCGGCGAAGCTACCTGCCGGGATCTGGGCTCACCACCACGAGGTCGGGAGATGTGGTCTACACCAGCAGGAAGGAGACTGCCACAACCAAGGTTAGGAGAGTTAAGCCCCAGCACACTGAGTTGCAGGTTCAGACCAGGCTGTCCCACTCCAGAGCCAAAGGCTGAGAAGAGAGGTGGACCCCCGAGGCCATTGGCAAGTGCCACGGATGGGGAACATCACTGGGCTTGACCCCTGGGCTTTTATCCTGACCTGACCTCTGTGTAGCTCTGGCAAAGTCAGATGCAGGAGGAGGAGTCAAGGAAATAAGAAGGATGTGAAGTAAGCCTCCACTTGTGCCAATCTCGGCAATGTGTCTTTTTAACATGAAACACAAAGTTTTCCCAGGATCTGAATGTAGTATGTGAGAGGTGTAAAACAGCGAGGAGTTCATGGTTTTATCCCAAGTCTTCACTGTTACCCCAAGAATAGCAGTTTGTACACATACGAGCCCAAATGTCATGCAGGGGGGGCTACAGTAGGCTTGTGCTAGCCACCAAGAACTACCAAGTCAGTGGCACAAGCAGGCAATTTGCCTCGCATTCCTCTCTCGCTGGCACTTGGCAGGTGCAAAGCCAGTACCTGTGGTTTCCCTCTCCCATAGGCAAGCAGTGAGGACACTGGACCAAGCGCCCAGCCCAGAGCCGCCAAGTGTCCACCAGAGGAGCCCACACCAGCCTGGACACCGTCCTCACCAGCAGTCACTGCCTCCTCCAAGGATGAGGAGGAGGAAGAAGAAGGAAAGAAAATCATGGCTGAGCTGCAGGTGGGTGGGAGATGTGCTGGGTGTCGGCCCCAGTGCACTCTGATATATTCTCTGGGTAGAGCAGGTGCAGCCTGCTCAGCCCAGCACATGGCCAGCACTCTAGAAGCTGTATCTTCTGCCATGGTCTCCACGTGCCCAGGATGGAACCGAATCAAACAGCTCCAGGGAGTTCTTAAACAGAATCAGTTACACACTACCCTGGCATCGGCTGATAGAATCTTGTTCATTTCAGAGGCTTGTTGAAGTGGGAACTCGGCTGGTGTCCAGGTGGTCTTGATGAGATCTGATGAAAGCCAGCTTCTGAAGGTTTCATTCTTGGGCACGAACACTTAGAGTGGTGACCTTGACTCACGATTCAAGGTCAGGAGCTGGCTTCCTCCAGTTCCTCTTGGGTGCCCCATTCAACATCCACATCGTCGTCCCTGTTTCCCTTGGCCTGTTTGAGACATGATCATCACTTTAGCTGTTTATTTTTTGATTTGTGGACACAGTTTGCTTATGGGATTGAGGGCAGAGTGAAGGAACTGTACCTGAATGAACCGCCCATTCAGAGCCCAGGTATGACTGGAATGTGTGTGATCCCAGACATGTGCACGGGTCCAGCCCATGTGCTGTGGCATGCTTCATTTACCTGGCACACTGAGCATGGGGTGTTTCTGCTCAGTCAGAGGCTCACACCATGGCCTTCCCTGGTGGTTGTGTGCAGGTTTGTGATTCATCCTTCTTTATCACTGTAAGGGGAACATTCTACTACATCGTTTCCGCGGCACCTGTTCAGTGCTGGTTCTTATGGTGGAAACTGCTGACACAGAGCTGCTGAAACATGGTGAGGTCATTAGATCCCCAGGTCAGTCTAACGCTGATGTGAGCCCTTCGACCCTTGCTGAAACCCACTGCCCCGCACGCAACATCCTCATGGGTCCCCAATGCTGAGTTCAGGCTTCTGGAATGGTTGCATTGTCTTATGCCCATGATGGCTGAGGTTACAAAGGTGGCACCTTTGGAGCTTATAAATAACCCAGGACAAGTCCCTGGATGTATGGGGGAGGGAGGATAGGAGTGTCATGACTGTAACAGCCACTTCTGGCTCACCATAAGCAGCTTGATCCACTTGCAGATCTGGAGTGGAGAGTAACCTTAGCCAGTGGAGCCATAAAGCGAGCTGATGAGCCCAACATGCCCAGGCCAGTCTGCATGAGGCAGTGCCCGGAGGCCACCAGGGGAGGGGAGAGTCATTGAGCAAAGGCTGGCAGGGTGAAGTCGGGAGAGATCCCACCTTCGTGAGCTGCATTCGGATTCTCTGTGCAGCTCCACGTGTCCACTTGGGATGGATGTGCATTCCAAATGTATCTGCAGAGTTCTTCCCAAATGGCAACAGTGATGATGACGCTTAGAAAGTGTCCCTTGAGATGACTCAACCAATTCCTGGTTTTTGTCCTGGCTGCACATGCGAATTCCTGCAGGAGTCAGGGTTGGGACAGGCAGAGATCCTTTAGAGCAGGGATCTAGGAGTGGGGCCTGAGTGATGGCACTCTCTGTCAGGGATGATCATGGCCCAAGGAGAATGCCAGGTCCTATGAAACATGGGTCCCAAAGTCACCTGTCCTCCCCAGGGTTGTGATGACAGCATCTAGTCAACATCTGGACACCCCACTTCCTTTCAGCCCTATAGACCCTATCGGGATATATTGTGTCTTTCTCAATCTGTCTGTCAGAACTGGCCTCCCTGAACTTAAATGTGCACAGGAGCCAGCCCTGGCCTCCTCCAAATATGCATCATTGACTTCCAGGGATGCCTCTAAGGCTCCAGCCACTTCTTGGCTGCCAAGAACCACATGAGCACCAGCAGACATCTCTTGATTCTAATTACCAGGGGACTCCTAAAAGCTCCCAAGGGTTGGGAGCTGGTCCGGTGGTCGAGATGACCATATCCTGCATTGGAGTACTGGAGTTTGATCCCTGGCTCTGCATCTGACTCCAGCTCTCTGCCAGAGCCACCTCTGGGAGGAGGCAGGTGGCAGCTCAAATGGTCAGATCTTTGCCACCCCCATGAGAGTCCTGCATGGAGTTCCCTGCCCCCAGCCTTGGCCTTGGCCCAGACATTGCCCATGTTGGGGGATGGGGAAGTGAATCAACAAATAGGACCTCTCTCTCTCTCCATCTCTCCTTTTCTCCCTCTCTCCCTCTCTCTCCCTCACCCTCTCTCCTTCCAAATAAAAAGTTCAAGGAAAATGAGCCCAGCATGATGGCTCAATGACTACATTCTCACCTTGCACATGCTGGGATATCATATGGTACCGGTTCATGTCCTGCCTGTTACACTTCCCATCCAGCTCCCTGCTTGTGTCCTGGGAAATCAGTAGAGGATGGCCCAAAGCCTTGGGACCCTATGCCCACATGGGAAACCCAGAAGAGACTCCTGGTTTCGGACTGGCTCAGTTCCAAGCCCTTGAGACTTCTTGGAGAATGAACCAGCAGATCTCTTGCCCTATATCTCCTTCTCTCTGTCAATCTGCCTTTCCAATGAAAATAAATCTTCAAAGAAAACATATAAAATGAAAAAAGTAGGCATGGATTTCCTTTATTTGCAAGGCAGAATTACAGAGAGGGATATCTTCAATGCACTGTTTGACTCCCCAAATGGCTACAGTGGCCAGGACTGAGTTAGGCTGCAGCCTGGACCCAGGAATTTCATCTGGGTCTCCCACAAGGGTCCCAGGGACTCAAGCACTTGGGCCATCTCTGCCTTTCTAGGCTCATTGGCAAGGAGCTGGAATGTAAGTGGAGCAGCCAGCACCCATTTGGGATGCCAGTGTCACAGGTAACAGCTTACCTACTGCACCAAAATTACAGTTCCGGATTTCAAATTTTTGTACCCCACAATATGCTTATGTGTTAATTCCTTTTTCCTGCAAATTTCCTGCAAAATCCTTCACATACATCAGGTCATGGCAGTAGCACCTTGACCACTTCAAAGGACAGATTATACTTACTATAAAAATGAAAGTTTCAAGTCTCTTGTGTCTTTCCTGTCACTTTAGTAAGGCTGAATTAAAAGAGAGCTTTGTTTCAACTCATTTACACATCCAACATTGTTTCAAGGGCACATGTACACGCCAAAGTCTGCATTCCAGTTTTATCCAGGTATGAAGAAGGCATGTCCCTAGCTGGGACCATTCGACTTTGCCCACCGCAGGAAGGGGTCTCTCCCCTGGGCTTGTGCTTGCTCCCAGAGTGAGCAGGATGGCTGGGTACCACTTCCCACACTTCCTCCAGTTCTCTGCTCCATCCCTCCTTCCTGCAGCCCGCATCCCTGTTAACCTCAGTATTTTAATTCCTCAGGCTTTCCAGAAGTGCTCCTTTACGGATGTAAACTCAAACAGTTACGCTGATCAGCCCCGGGCTGACCCTAGGCCGGGCACCTCAGCCCCAGCCAAGGAGAAAAAGGTAACGTGGCCGCCACACGCGTGCCACTGGCCACTTGGCCCTTCTGCCTCACTCTGACACTAACCCAGCTCTCTCAGGGGGCCTTCCTCCCCTCTTCCTCTCTCTCTCTTTCCCTCTCCCTTCTCTCATTTTTTGTTGAATGGACAGAGACACCAATATCAGTGAAGATCGAAGACAGGTGCTCAGGCCGTGAGCTCTGTGTCCCCTGTGTGTAGGTCTATGTAGAAGTTAGTGTCTTTCCAGCTAAGGAGTACACACCCCCCAAACCCAGATGCCAGCCACCCATGGGCACAGCACATCTCTCATTTTTTTAACAAATGAGAAGAAATGTCTCTCAAGTGCAGGGTAAAACTTTACATGCAGGAAGGAAACATGTCTTCACACTCAAGTGCATCCTTCTAGAAACCCAGAATCACACAGGCACCTGTGTCCTGTGATACCATCCATAATCTAGGCTCACTGTTCCCAGTCTTTAAAGTGTGCCTCCCAGGCATCATTTTTTTGTGGTGAAACACTCTGGTGCCCTTCAATTTGAGACCTGAGTCCCGAAACCCCATCTGCCATCGTCCCCTAAGTACTTTAGGGCAATAATCTTCCCTTGAAACCTGGGAACTGCAACCCGACCAATGGGAGTAAGAGCTGTCACCTTTCTTGAATCAAGCCTTCTCCCCATGTAGATTTCAGAAGAGGAAACTTGTAAGGACACCATTAGACTTCAGAATTCGAAGAGCCCAACTTTTCTTTAATAAAATCAAACCAGTAAGCCACAAAGGTAGCCATGGGTTCTTAGGTTCACAGGAAGTTTGGTGAGGTGGATTGAGGAACACAGCTTCTGTGAGCTGTTCTTACACCACCTGCCCTTCCTCCGAGACACAGCCCTGGACTCGTGGCCTTTCAGAGCCCTCATCGGGCACTGTGCCTGCTACAGAACTGACATAGGAAATCACGGATGGGAGGAGGAGGACTGTCCCAGGCACCAGGCGAGATTAGCAATCATGGGTGCATGCTTCTCTAGGGGTAAATCCCCCATACTGATTATAATTGCATCCATGACGTCAGAATCCACTGCTTGTGCACTGTGTGGTGTTTGCTTACAGGGTGTTCTTAAGACCAGGATCTAGAGGATCTGGAGGGTTCCCGGGACAGCACAGGAGACCTGGAAACTCCCTCCTGGGAACCTGGAATGTCCTTCGGGAGACGATTGTTATTGGTTGTACACTTGACCCATGGCCAGACAGTTGTGAACTATTGCCTGTCTTCCCTTCAGAGCCCTCAGCTCCCCCTTCGATCCGATCCATTTCTCTCAGCCAAGATAAGAAGCAGGTCTTTCCTGGGCACCACCCCTCCCCCCCAACACTGGGGTCAGTCACAAACTTGTCATAACCATGAGATCTTGTCTTTCTCTCCCTCCCTGGGTTTTGCCATCATTAACCTCTACTTGGGCTTCCCATGGTCTGCTCTTAGTAAATCAGCCTGGGGCTTCACTTTGTAACGGTCTCTAATCTGGGTCTGTAACTCGGACTTCTCCAGTTTACTCAACAGCCCAGTCCTCAGAGCCTGTGAAGTCTACAGAGCATTAATCACCTTGCATGGTCTAGAGCTGCCCCCTCATCTTGCATGCAGTCTCATGCTCTCCTGAGAGCTGCCCCCAAGTTCTCTGGCTCAAGTCTGTGCACCTGCTTGGTTTGATTGGTCCTGTCTTCTAGCCCCAAAGGCAAAAATGAGAGGTCACATGGAACCTAATGCCAACATCCAAATTGTAGTGACCTTCCATTAGTGTTCTTAAAACATTTGAATTGCCACTGTAGTCATTTTGTTATCAGCATTGAAAACTGCACCAAAGCAAGCAGCAGTTGAGTTAAATGCCCTTGTGAGAGGGTTGGGCTAGAGTGGGGACCTAAACAGCAAACATTGGGTGATTCATATACCTCATGCTCACGGATATTTCTTGGTGATTAATGCCGACCAGTTTCTTGCTTTTGTGTGTTACTCTGGAGTGTTGCGTGTGAGTGTGCCTTCCATCTTTAGCCGGGACACTGGTATCACTGTGGGTTGAGTGTATGTGGCCTGGGTCTCGGTTCTGGGAGTGTTTCCCAGAACAGCCCTGTACTGCTAGGGTTGCCTCCCATGCCTGGCTCCTGCAAAAAGAAAGGGCAGCAGTTGTCTCGCAAAGAACAACACAGGGCTGGAGCCGCTGATGGCTGCAGAGGGGATGCGCCCTTCACATTCGTGGTTGGTTCCTCAGCCCCCGAGACTGTTGGCAACTCCTCTTTGCTCCTGCATTAGAAAATAAGGGAATAAATGTTGAGCCCTGACGTCACAGACGCATTAGCCTCCAGTAGTGTCTGTTTCCTACATGTTCAGGTTAGATGATGGCGGCGTGATCACCCTAAGCCTGGGTTCCTTGTTGGTCTTGAAGAGTAAAAGGTGATCTTGACTCTGCCGGTGTGGATGCTGGGCGGCCAAGAATACTCCTGTCAGCCCCAAGGACCGTACCCTGCTGGGGTGACTGTACTGGAGATACTATCTCCACACAAGACACGGATAGCCGGAAATCTCTAACCGGAAAGAACATTGGCAGTCTGCTGACAGAGCCCCTCAGGCTATAGGCAAGAAACCAAGCCTTGCCCCAATCCCCAGGGCTAGGGCCTAGTGGCCGATCTAGATCCAAATCTAGACCCTCCCAAGCCCATGCAAGGTGCTCAACTCACACCGCAGATCCTTGCAAAGAGGGTGTGCACCACCTCCCCACCAACCCCATCCTGCCCACCCCAAGAACCACACCCAGCTCTCCCCACCAGTCCTCTTCGCCAAGCCCAGCCCTGGCGGGCCAGCCAGGTGTTTGCTAATCAAGCTTTATATCTTGGGAGAACACAGGGCATTTCTGGAAGCTGGAGAACAAGGCACCACTAGGTAAAGAAGGCTGTTGGCTCCACCTCAGTGTGTTAGTGCAGGTGCTTGGCCTGCACGTGCTTTGTGGAAATGTGCTTCTAGAGGAGGAGTTTAGCTGTAGACCACTGTGAGGGGATGTGGCTTTTGTGCAGTAACATGTCCTACACTGTCCTACCAGAACTCGGACTTTTCTCGCGAAGATGCACGGAAATCTGAGGTTGTCAACGAACCCTGCCCCCAAGTGGCGTCACAAAAGGTGAGTGTGTTGGATCTGTGTTGCAGCTGCGTGTATGAATTCCTCACCTTGGCAGCTGTGGCTCCCATTAATGTGTGTGGTTTCCCTCTCTCTCCTCTCCCTTCCACCCCTCCCCCCCAGGTTACGCCAGGGGCCCTGAGACCCAGTGACACCCCCAGGTGGGAGAATAATGTGTATGAGGCATCCAGAACTGCCCAGTACAAAACCGTTATCTTAGGGCAGGAGGATTCCCGGCCCAGTGACACCAGAGACTGTGGGCCTGAGACCAGTCCCAGCTCGTCCAGCGTGAGCTCACTGGAAGATGAAAGACCCAATGGGCCACAGCCCCCAGGGCTGCAGCTCCCTGCGCCAGGCATGGAATCTCAGAAGCTGAATTCTGCAGAGACCAAGGAGAAAGATCAAGAAAAAGTAGCACACACGGGGAGGGCTCCCACTGCTTCTCCAGCCCCAGCACCGGAGCAGGGCCAAGCACAGGATGCAGAGGTTCCCCTGACAGGCGTGAGCCAAGTTGTCCTAAGACCCAAAGGGGCCCGGCATGCAAACACAGCCCCCGTTGAGGACGGGGACTCCATCCTGAGCTCCCCTGCTGAGGACAACATCGCCTTCATGATCACCAAGACGGCCGTGCAGGTGTTGTCCAGTGGCGAAGTGCGCGACATTGTGAGCCGCAAGGGGGAGGAGGTGCAGACAGTGAATGTGGACACAAGAAAGGAGCCAGCGTCGCCGCAGGATGGGCCGGGACCCGAGGAACCCGTCCTGTGCCTGGACAAAAAGCCGGTGATCATCATCTTCGATGAGCCCATGGACATCCGCTCTGCCTATAAGAGGCTTTCCACCATTTTTGAGGAATGTGATGAGGAGTTGGAGAGAATGATGACCGAGGAGAAGATAGAGGAGGAGGAAGAGGAGGAGGAGAATGGGGATGCTGTGGTCCAGAATAGCAACACTCCAGTGTCTGCCACCAAGGTGGCCTCGGGCAGTGTGGGAACCAGACAAGCGTCCGAGACCAGACTGCAGCCACTGTCACCTCTGGGGGCAGAGAATAGGAGTCCAGGAAGCCTAGAAAGAAAGAATTCTGAACTGAGCAAGTTGAGTCCAGGAGATGCCCCAACCTCCGATGGCAGGTGTGATACAGCTGAGGACCAGTTTGAAAGTCCCAAGAAAAAGTTCAAATTCAAATTCCCCAAGAAGCAACTGGCTGCTCTCACGCAGGCCATTCGCACGGGCACCAAGACAGGGAAGAAGACACTTCAGGTGGTGGTATACGAGGAGGAAGAGGAGGATGGCACGCTGAAACAACACAAGGAGGCCAGGCGCTTCGAGATCACCAGTTCACAGCCGCCGGAGGATACCCCCCGGAGCCCGGCCCATGGACTCGAGGGAACATCCCAAGCTTCCAGAACCGATGAGATCCGGAAAAACACCTACAAGACCCTGGACAGCCTGGAGCAGACCATCAAGCAACTGGAAAGCACCATCAGCGAGATGAGCCCCAGAGCCCTGGCTGACTCCCGTCCTCCCACCAGGGACTGCAGTGCCAGCTCCCCCCACGAGGCTCCCGAACCCCCTCCCTGCACCCTGCTAGCGAGGGATGATGCGCCCACTGCCCCAGAGTCCCCCACGCCCGTACCGCCACCTTCACGTAAGGTACCGTGGTCTGGCGCGTAGAAGGAAGACGACAGCTGCTTTCCTAAATGTGCCAATAATCACCCTTAGCACAAGGTGTCTCGTGATTTAATCGCTTCCCTGCAGGTGGCTGGTGCACGGGTGGTTATTGTTGGTGTTGTCTGTTCGCCACGACGCCCCTCTGTCCTCCTCTTCTCCCCCAACCCCACACCACTGGCCCTAGGTGTCTAACAGCTAATCGACTCCGTGTGCCCTTGTTGCTGATGGGTTTTGGGGAAGCGCCGGGATGCTGGGTCCGTCGTGTGCTGTGGAAATGATCAATTTCTCTGGTACTCACATTAAAAACAAAAACAAAAAAAAAAAACAAAATCCGTTGGATCAGTAGTGAGCCTGTTGATTCTGTCTGGTTCCTCTGATTAACCCCAGTTGGTCTCTCCTTCGTACCTCTCTCCTCTTGCATGCCAGGCTAGGCCTCTATCTCAGGCTTCTCTCTGGACCACAAAGGGCAGCCTCCGGAACAGGCCACTCACCTGCTCTCTTCTTCCCACCCCCTTCCTGCAGGGCTCTGGCGGGACCCCACCAACCAGCAGGATGCCGGTGCCCATGACTTCCAAACACAGACCGGGGAGCTTGGACAAGGCCAGCAAGCCGTCCAAACTGCAGGACCCACGCCAGTACCGCCAGGTAGTTTTGCCTTAACCTCACCATGCACAGTCCCCTCCTCTCCCCCACTGGACGGACACTGTTGCTGTTAAGAATCCAAGTCACTGACTTGGCTTGTACCCAATGTCGTGTTGCTGGGAAGATGTCATTGTAAAGCTTAGATGTCCTGGTTTGGGTGGAGGGTGGGTGGGGTGTGGACACGAAGAAAAGTTTCAGACCCTTCTGTTAAAGTCGTCTCTGCGTTTTTTGCATGCTTGCCATGAAAACACCTCGGACTCTGTGACTCCCCAAGGTCACCGGGCAGGCCCATTGCTGAATGTGATCTGGACACAGTGTGGGGAGGGGAAGCAGGGAGAGAGACAAGCCCACATGTGGTTGGACTGCACCCTGCCCCCACCATGAGTCTCACCCTTACAGATGCTCTTGCTGTGGGCTCACCACCCCACACCCCGCCACTCAAGTCCCTGACTTCCTTTGTGATATATGTGGGAAGCGGGGCAGGGTGGGGGTTTTCTCCCAGGTACAGTGCGGCACCCCAAGACTTGGCTCAGTCCTCGGACCGTGCTGGGGGTGCGGCTGTGACTGAGCCACTCTCACCAGGCGGGTGACAAGCAGGAGTGCTCTGACGCTGTCTCCCGCCCGTCTCTGTTTGCAGGCTAACGGAAGCGCTAAGAAAGCTGGTGGGGACTTTAAGCCCACCTCCCCTTCCCTACCTGCTTCTAAGATTCCAGCCCTTTCTCCCAGCTCGGGGAAAAGCAGTTCTGTACCTTCAGCTAGCGGTGACAGCCCTCACCTTCCCCACGCGCCCGCCACTAAACCAACGGTTGCTTCTAACCCTCTCAGCCCCTCCACAGCACGGCCCGCTCCCTCTGCCTCCCTCATCCCTTCTGTCTCTAATGGCTCCTCCAAGTTCCAGAACCCCACTCACACAGGGAAAGGCCACCACCTCTCCTTCGCACTGCAGACTCCCAATGGCCGGGCCACCCTGCCCCCCTCCTCCTCTGCCTCCACGCCTCCCTCCCCTGCCTCCCCCACCACCACCCTGAGTCAAGGTGCCAAGGGTGCCAGGACCCTGCACACTCCTGGCCTCACCAGCTACAAGGCACAGAATGGAAGTTCCAGCAAGACCACACCCATCGCGGCCAAGGAAACCTCTTAAATCCCCTTAGGCTTCAGCTGGAGTTGCCCTTGCAAACAATTGTTTTGGTTTTGGCTTTTTTGTTTTGTTTTGCTTTTTAACAGTCTATAACAGTTGTTTTCACAAGAGAATGTTGTTTGAGGCTTACTGCTAAGTCTGTGCTAAATGCCAGTTTATGGATTTCAGTCAAGTTTGTGTTGTACCTTCTCCTTCCTTGCCATTGTATTTGCAGAGTGGTGACTGTCCTTACCCAATGCCTATTACATGAAGTAAGCATGTGTTTGCTGCAGGAGTAGGATGAGAAAGAAGAGTGTGTGTGTCTGTGTGTGTGAAAGAGATGAGAGACAGAGAGAGAGAGAGACAAGAGAGACAGAGGGAAAGCTGTCCCAAGCATGTAAAACATGTATGATTCCAGAATTTTAGTATGTTTTGTATAAAACTATTTTTCACTACGGAGACAAGAAGTGATCAGAGAAATATACCCAAGGATGACTATAAAAAATTGTAAAACAGATTCTATAATATTTCCTTTTATTTTAGTGTTATTTAGCTTTATTACAGATTTCTATTTTTGTCAAAACTCCACAGTTCCTTTCGAGATCTCTTTTGCCAAAAAACATTTTGATACTGGAGCACTGTACATTTCACGGAAGCGTGCGCTACAACTCTAAGCCAATGAACTGCTACTCGAGGCGATTTCTCCAACCTCTTGCACTGCCGTGGGAAGTGTGTATAATCATTTGCTAGTCCCAGGCAAGCTGGGTTGGCTTGGCGTGGCTCTCTTCTTGGGCAATCTGTTCCTTCCTTTTTCTTGCTTTTGCTGTTGCCATTAGCATATTGATATTCTTCTCTCATTTCTCTCGCAGTCTGTGACCCCCTTCCTTGGTTTTCTGACATGGAGCAACACACACCCATGCATTGTGGCTTTTAAAATATACACTTCTGTACGGCTCTGTAAACTTGATCAATGTCTGTAAATATATAAATAGGATGAGACATCAGAAATACCCTATGTAACGGCACAGTAGATTTCCCACACCAAAGTTAATTTGTATGCATGCTTTGAAAGGGTCTGTTGCGACGGGCAGAAATGAGAATGATCTGGATTTGGTTTTTTGGTTTGTTTTTTTTTTTTGTTTTTTTTTTTTTTTAAGCAATAAGTTTGCACAAGCTAGAGTGTTTTTGTAAATAAATGAATTTGTATAACACAGTCATGTAACATACCGAGCTGTAAGCAGAGACTCTGCAAAAAGTAAATAAAAGGGCTGCATGCTTATGACTCCTTGTACGTCCGTCACCGCTCGGATGGCCTTTCCCCAGTCCCAGAACACACCGGGATGGCCACAAGTCCAACCCCATTGGCTCGGAGGGCATTCAAAGCAACAGCGTAGGGGCTTGCTTCCACAGCACATATGCTACAGCCAACAGCATAGGCCCCTGGGCCACCTCCCAAGCGGCTTCCTTGGACTGACTGGCAGGAGTGGGGCCTGGAGCGTGTGTCCTGCTGGCTGGGTGGCTTCCCCAGGACACAGAGCAAGCCCCATACCACACTGCCATCCCCGTTCACCAGAGGGGCCTCACCCCCCTTTTCCCTTTCTTTTTTTTTTTTTTTTTTTTAACTTCCCATAGGAAAAGAAATAAAACATCTATCACTGGGCTGTGTTTGTGTGTCTGAATTGTCCATTTTTTGAGATTGGCTTGGGTCCAAAGGCCCAGCAGGTTGGCCGGCATCACCCTAATACAACACCAGGCTCCTGGCGGAAGCCATGGCGAAAACTCAGCACACTGAAAAGGAAGGGTTGGCACAAATACCCTCCCTGCAATAGAGCCAGCCGTCGGGGAGCCCCAAGCCCCAGTCTTACTTGCCAAGCTTGGATGGTATCCTGGGGTGTGTCTGCCTCCACCCGCAGGGACCTTATCGCAGGTTGCGCGTTGCACATGACACTGGGGTAGGTGCCACTTGGGGGGCAAGGGAAGAGCACAGTTCAGCGCGAAGACGCCCAGTGAGACCCAGCAGGAGAGAGAGGAGAGGAGAGAGAGGAGGGAGGCAAACAGTTCCACCTGGTGCTTGCGAGCCCAGGTGTGCGCAGGCTGCAAACAGGGAGCTGCGCGGATTGGTTTCCCAGCACTGCTTCCTGGGCGCCCACGTAGGCCTCTGGGGTGGGGCTTAAAGCCCGGCAGCCCGTACCCCTCGTACCCCTTCGTTTGCGCTAGAATTTCTCCCTCTCCGGGGGCTCGTTTGCCAGCCTGCCTGCTTGCTCCTTCCCCTTGGGCTCCAAACCGCCGTGGACCCTGATTGGACCTCATCCGCTGAGCAGCCTTAAAAAGTTCCTCCTCCAGGAGGAAGGGTGGAGGGCCTCAATAATGAGCTGGCGTCTCTTCCTCCCTGGCTTCCTCGGCTCGACCTCTCTGGAAACTGTAAGTAACATTTTTCATCATCATTGTCATTATTTTTTTCATTCCACTCTCATTGAGTCTCAACTGGACTAATGAAACACGTGCTGGGGCTCTCCTGGAAGGGGCTGGCTTTGAGCTTGCTGCCTCTCTCCACAGCAAGAGAGATAGCTAGACCAAGGTCAAAAGAAACGGGATAAAAATGGCCACCAAACCTCACTCGGCTTTCTTGGGCGTCTCGTATGGATGGTGTGGGGTCAGGGGAGCTGCTGCTACGTCTTTAGGTGTCTTCATTCACCATCTAGCATCCCATTTAGTGCCCATGGTCATAGCAATACGTGGCTGGGTTGGAGAGATTCCTAAAAGTGACAGCATCTTGGCTTCCTTTGGGAACCCCCAATTCATTCAGGCAGGCGTGGGGTCCCCTGCAGCTGGGATTCCAGTAGGCCATGGGACACGGGACGTGCTATGGCTACACTCCTACTGGCCCCTGCCCAACCACAGGTGTGAATGGGAACTGCAATAATGCAGCCTACCTCCTACAGCTGTTGGGAGGATTAAGACCAGGTCACACGGAATTGCTAAGATGCAGGTGCAACTGAAGGTTATTGTTGGGGTGGGCAGGCTAGTTTGGGAGTGAGCGGGGTGGACTCCACCTGCCACAATTCCACCCCCCAGTCTCAAGGAAAAGTGTTGAATGCCAAGGACAGGACCCCCATGTGGCCGCTCAGCCCTGGGGCTCTTCACACACACACACACACACACACAGCCCCCACCCTTGCCCTGTGCTCCTTACAATGCAGACACCAGTGAGCCATCAGAGAACAGATGCAGTTGCTCTTGGCCTGGAAGGTAGAAAGGTGAAATCATGCTTGACCCAGCCTGCCAGGAGGCCATGGTGGCTTTCACACACACCTCAGATGGACACACACCATGTTCTGTTTGTTAGAGGTGCAAGGCATCTATGGCAATTGCATCATCCTTGGACTTGCGAGTATCCTTGCCGAAGCTGCCTGCTCGGGGCTAGGGATGAGGAAGACCTCCCAATGGGCATGCAAACCCTGTGGCAAGCCGCAGTTGTTGCCTGTTCTCAGTGGCCCGGGTCTGCTTTGGTAAACCCCTTCCTCACCCCTAGCTGCCAAGCGATGGGCAGGTGGGGGTGGATGGTTATCTGGGATTTTCTTCCTCAATTCCCCGGGGTGCCAGCCAGGCATCCAGAGGAAGTTGGGGAAGTGTGGGCCCAACCCCCTCCAGATCTAGCCTGGCCACTTGCTAGCTTCCTCTCTGGGGCTCGGTACCCCCCACCCATACACACACACACCCTCCCAGAGACTGTATCTTCCAACTCGTGCTGCAGCTGCTGGGGTCCCATGTTAAATCTGCCACGTGTGTGCTCCCTAAGAAGTCCCCGTTGGGCCTGTTTTGTGAGGGGCACCTCAACCCCTCAGAGGTGGCCTTGGAAATCCCTCTGTAACCAGTCTCAACTCCATCAGATCCAGCAGCATTTTATAGGGGTTCACATCCTCCATGTAGGTGCTCTGCTCCCCCTGATTCTCAGCATGCAATACCACGTGATGTGTGAGCATCACTGTGTGTGTGAGATGGATATGCCGTGCCAGTTAGCTTTGGTCACAAGCAGGGTTCCCAGGCACCGCCACAAATACCGTCTTTGGGACTGCTGTAATTTCTGGGATTCCTTTGTTCATGCTGGGGGTAGGGGTGGCACTGTGCCCTGGCACAGGTCCAGGCATCCCTGACCCACACCTGCTGCTGGACTGTGAGCCCCCAGAGACGCAGTGGCTTGGGATGAGAGACCCTCACGGGGGATAGTTGTGTGGGGCTTCACTGTTGGACATCAAACTGAAGAATCAGAGCATCCTGCATTGAGCTTCCCCCAGCGCACCCCAGAACCCCTCCCTCAGGGGAACCTGGGTCCATCTCCCATCCCCCAGGATGATCTAATGAAGCCCATGTTCGCAAGGGCACCTGGCTGTTCAGTATTGGCAGCTGGGAGAAGTGAGTGGTTACCTTGAACAGAAAGCTCCACTCCCCCAGGAAGCCACATGCAGATAGATTGTTCATGGCTCCACCTCCAGACCCGGGCAGGCATAGGTGCCCCCTCCTTGCTGACCTGCAAGTGTGAACGGGTGAGGTCAAGATGTGGTGGCTGCAGAACACCAGGGATGCCTGCCCGAGGTGGTTCAGGTGTGTAGATTTGTTTCTGATTTCATCCTACCTGAGGGCTGCAGTTGTGCAGAATCACCTGAGGAAGGGTATAGCCTGGGGTGTTTGCGCAAGAGGCTGGGGGTGTAGGGTCAGGGGGATTTGGAGAGTGCCCACTTGGCTTTGATAGACAGGAAGGCTAAGGCCAGGTGCTGGCCCCAAACTGGAGAAGACTGCACTGCAAGTTTCTGTGACTTTTTAAGTTGCAAAACCTGCTGGGTCCAGCGTGTCAGTCTCTGGTGACTGTTTCCAGTCTCTCCAATAGTCAGTATTTGTGCTTGTGACTTTTTGGCCCACCAGCAGGTGGTGCCACATGGTGCATTTGCAGAGTGGGGAGGGGGGTTCTGTGTGGTGCCACAGGTGCAGTGGCACAGGTGCAGTGCCGTGGGCACCTTCCATCTCTA